TCTGCCAGGCCCTGCTTAAGTGTCACCTTCTGGGTTGCCTGCCCGATGTCCAGGCTCTTTCTCACCTAATCTTGCCTCATCTTGCTTCCTCCTCAGAGCCCCACACTTCCATTTGACCTTTCTCTTCCTCTTTCCATTTTTTTGCCTTTCTTGCTTGTGGTTCCCAACATGATTAGAATAGATGTCCTAGACATCACACATGGGCTCAACTCCTTTCAAATATAATCTGTGTCAGCCTTAGCAGACTATCCATTTGTTCAGGAAATATTGAGGCCTACTGTGTGTAAGCCCTGGTTAGACCCTGGAGTCATGAAGGCAGAGGAGAAGCAGGAAGAAGCAGGTGCTGTGTGATTGTGCTGGTGATTGTGTGATGGTTGTGGTGACCAGTGCCACGAAGGAGAGGAAGCAGGGTAACAAGGAGAACGTAACAGTTGTCAGGCCTCATGAAGCAATGACACTGGGGTTGAGAACTGGCTGTCCATATTGCATCAGAGCAGTGGCTAGACTTCTGGTCATAAACTGTAAGCAGGAAGGGAAGGTGCTGGAAGGCTGACAGGTCATGCAGACAGTGGGCTGAAGGTCTGGAAAATCAGACTGCACACTGGTGGCTGCCAAGGGAAGTTGCCAGCCAAAACTTCCACTGTAGAGCAGTGGTGTTAGCCTGGACCCAGCTGCCACAACTGGGATGTCGACCCTTCTGGCATGTTCCCAACAGAGGGAACTTCCCACTGGGCCCAATTATTGGCCCCAGATGACAGACAGCTCCTATCTCAAGCTGACTGAAGGCTAGTCTTTATAATTATTGTTATTAGAAACAGGGTTTCAGTCTGTAGCCCAGACTAATCTCAAACTCAAAGAAATCCTGCTGCTTCAGCCTTCTAAGTGCTGGGATTACAGGCAGGAACCACCAAGTTTGGCTGAAGGCCAGGTTTTAAAAATGTTTATTTATTATTATTTTTGGTCTTTTTGAGACAGGGTCTCTCTGTAGCCCCAGCTAGCCTGGAACTCAGTATGTAACCCAGGCTAGCCTTGAACTCACAGAGATTCCCTGCCTCTGCCTCCCAAGTGCTGGGACTAAAGGTGTGCGCCACCACACCTGGCTTCTTATTTTTTATTTTATGTGTATGTGTGTATTGCCTGCATGTAAGTGCACTTGTGTCGTGCAGTGCCTACAGAGGACAGAAGATGCCATTGGATTCCCTGGAACTGGAGTTATGGACAGTTGTTAGCTGCCCTGTGGGTGCTGAGATTCAAACCCAGGTCCTCTGCAAGAACAGTCAGTGTTCTTAACCGCTGAGCCATCTCTCCAACCCCCGAAGGGCCAGTTTTATAAAGTCCCATGTAACCTGGCTTGACCCTCTGCCCTCAGCCCTTGCCCAACCTGCTTGGTCACACTGGGCTCCTTGCTGTTCCCCAGCCATACCAAGCCTGCCTCTGCTCCCAGGGGCTCCTGGTTGATCCCTCTGCCCCTAACATGCCCCTGGTATCCCAACTGTTCCCTCCCTTACTTCCTCTGGTCCTTAGCTTGTCACCATCTGTGGAGGCTTGCCTGATTTTCCCAGGTACTTGGCATTAGTGCTGACTAGATAAATCAACATGTTATACACATGCAGTGGGATATTATCAGTCTTAAAAGGGATAAACTACTGATGTATGCTGCACCATGGATGAACCTTGACAAGCTTGCACTAAGTGAAACAAACCTAACACAGAAGTCATTCTGCAGGATTCTATTTCCATGAGCTACCTAGAATCAGCAAGTTCTTTGACACAGAAAGGAGACTAGTGGTTATTAGGGACTAGGAGGAGGGGAAGATTGGGAGCTTATTAGTGTTTCTTTTAAATAAATATTTTATTAATTCTTTGAGAATTGTATACAAATTTCATGCGTTTTGATTTTATTCACCCCAAAATACTCCCCTTAACTCCTCCCAGTTCCACTCTACCTCTTCTACTCCAATTTCATGTCCTTTTTTAAAAAAATATTTTATTATTTTTATTTTATGTGTATGAGTATATTGCCTGCATGTATGTGAGTGCACCTGTGTTGTGCAATGCTATGGAGGTCAGATTCCCCTGGAACTGGAGTTAAGGATGATTCCTAGCCGCCATGTGGGTGCTGGGAATCGAATCCTTGTCCTCTGCAAGAGCAGTCAGTGCTCTTAACCTCTGAGCCATCTCTCCAGCCCCTCATGTCCTCTTTTTAAATAATCCATCAACTCCAATTTGTGTCTCTCCCAGAAGCCATCAGCTGTTCCTAGCTCCTTAGTCAGGGGTGAGTGTTCAGGAATCCCTTCCCAAGGGAGTTTATTTAATGGATACAGTTTCTGTTTGGAACGAGCAAGTTATAGACATAGATAATGGTGATGTTTATTTAATATTATGAATGTTAATGCTCCTGAATTGTCCTCTTAAAAAGGGCTAAAATGATACATTTTGTTGTTTTTTTGCCATATACTATATTAAAAATATATATTTAGAACAGGCAAGTTTTATTTTTTTCATTCCTCTCCTGATGAGAATATTTTAGGCATTAGGACTTAGAGTCTGAACTGTGAAAATCTCCTTAGTTGATAAACCTGTTTGACTAGCCTTAATCTGATATGTCCCCACATTAATACTACCACAAAAGCTTTTTGACAGTAATAATGACACAAATATTCCCATGAAGCTCTTCTGTTCTGTTCATGAAATTGGTGTGTTATAGAGAGTACACATATAAACACTGGGAAAGAGTTCCTTTCCCACCACCATTTTAGCGACTGTATCTAGGTTTCTCTCACAGACATGTTCTCTACTTTCCAACAAGTTGCTTTTCTTTCCTGGAATGTTGGAATATTTGGTTCTTAATCCAGATTCTGGATACAAGTGTGTATTCTGTTAATGAGATCTGATTGAGGAATTTACTGTATTGTTAAATTTCAATGGAATGTTTAAAATAATAAAAATGGTTTAAAGGGTAAATTTTATGTGTAGTATATTTTATCACAATAATAAGCAAAAAAAGCCGGGCGTGGTGGCGCACGCCTTTAATCCCAGCACTCCGGAGGTAGAGGCAGGCGGATCTCTGTGAGGCCAGCCTAGTCTACATAGTGAGTTCAAGGATAGATGGGGCTACATGGAGACCCTGTCTCAAAAAGACGAGAAAAAAAAAAAAAAAAAAAAAAAAAGAGGCTCACTGAACTGTTATCTGTGTCATAGTGGCTCGTACTAAGCAGACGGCCCGCAAGTCCACCAGCGACAAGGCTTCGGCTCAAGCAGCTGGCCACCAAGGCCTCCCGCAAGAGCGTGCCGGCCACCAGCGGCGTGAAGAAACCGCACCGCTACCCGCCAGGCACCGTGGCGGCTGCGCGAGATCCACAGTTACCAAAAGTCCACCGAGCTGCTGATCCGCAAGCTGCTGTTCCAGCGCCTGGTGCAGGACTTCAAGACAGACCTGCGCTTCCAGAGCTCAGCGGTGATGGCGCTGCAGGAGGCTTGTGAGGCCTACCTGGTGGGGCTGTTCAAGGACACCAAGCTGCCATCCACGCCAAACGTGTCACCATCATGTCCAAGGACAGCCAGCTGGCACGCTGCATACAGAGAGAGGGTAAATTTTCCTGATGTCAGTGTTAGTTGTTGTGCTTCTGGTAGCTGATATTGGTCCTGGCTGTGAAATCTTGGGAGGTGTGGATCTGAAACCCTATTATTTAAAAAAAAAAAATGATTGAATGAATGGGGGGGCGGGATTTGCTCAGGCATGAGGAGGTCAGAGGACAGCTTTGGAAAACCTATTTTCTCCTTCCATCTTCTTGAGGCAGGGCCTCTTGCTTCTGCAGTGCTTTCCCCTGGCTAACTGGCACAGGAGCTTCTGGTCGATTCTCCTGTCTCCACTTGTCCTAGGAGTTGCTGGAATTACAGACGTCTGCTACCACATCCTGCTTTTTTAAAATTTAAGTTTTGATTCTTTTTTGAGACAGGGTCTCACTATGTAGTCCTGGCTAGCCTTGCATTCACAGAGATCTACCTGCCTCTGCCTCCTGAGGGCTGGGACTTTAGGCCTGCACCACCACACCCAGTACATCCTGCTCTTTTTATGTGGGTTCTGGGCATCAGGCTCAGATGGGCGAGGAGTGGGTCATAATCTGACCTCTTTATACATTGTCTATTTGAGATAGGGTCTCCCTGTAGGTCCAGCTGGCCTGGAACTCACTATGTAGATCAGGCTGCCCTCGAAGTCACAGAGACCCGCCTGCCTCTGCCTCCCAAGTGCTGGGATGAAAGGTGTGCACCACCACGCCCAGCTACAAGTGCTTATTTTTTAAAAAAATATTTTATTTATTATTTTAAAATTTTGTGTGTGTGAGTATATTGCCTGTATTTGTGTAAGTGCACTCCTGTTGTGCAATGCCTGTGGATGTCAGAAGAAGGTGTTGGATTCCCTGGAACTGGAGTCATGGATGGTTGTTAGCCACCATGTGGGAACCTGGGTCCTCTGCAAGAGCAGCCAGTGCTCTTAACTGCTGAGCCATCTCTCCAGCCTCTTATTATTTTATGTGTATGAGTATATTGCCTGCATGTGTGTAAGTGCACCCCTATTGTGCAATGCCTGCAGAGGTCAGAAGAGGGCATCAGATTCCTTAGAACTGGAGTTGAGGATGGTTGGTAGCCAACATGTGGGTGCTGGGAAACGAACTTGGGTCCTCTGCAGGAGCAGCCAGTACTCTTAACTGCTGAGCCATCTCTCCAGCCTGCAAGTGCTTTTATAGACTGAAGCATCTGACCTGTTCCATGCATTTGAATTTCAATGCCGTAGTTCCCCATTTGTGACGTGGGAGACCGCTTAAAATGGACTCTTGATGAATAAATGAGAAGCAAGATCCCCAGGATACCATCCTGGTTTGTAGTGAGACCGGTCCAAAACCAAAGCCAAACCAAAAAGCAAGTAAATGAAATGTAAATATCCCAGTTGCCCCCCCATGTCGTCCACTTGTTCCTCCGAAATGTCTCCCAAACCAATATGATCGCAATACGATGTTTCCATTTACTTTGAATTATATGTCATTATAAATATTAACAAGTAAGACTTAAAAAGGACACCTTCGGGAAGGTCAGACGAAAGTACAAAAATTGTGTCATGGGGCTGCAGTTTGAGGACGTATTCTGCAGCCGTGACATGGTAGCAAAACGGTGTTAAGCAGTGCACGAGTCCATGCATCGGGAGGTTCACTCGGTTTGAGAAAGAATGAAGCGGCAGGACATGCACAGCCCAGGCTCGGCGGGCCGGCGGGCCGGGGAGGTGCAGTTCCTCATTCTTGCCACTAGACGTCAGGAGGTTACCGACTCAGGGTTGGAAGACGGGCTGGTCCAGGGGATTGGCTAGTGATAGCAGTGGGCGGGGCAGAGACCCGAACGCGAGGTGGATGCCACTGGTCTGCGGACCTCCTGGTTACTGACACCAAACTTTGGAATGACCTTTTTTGGGGGGTGGGGACGCTTCAAAGTTCTTCTGTGTAGGGCTGATAGACCAGAAGCAAGATGCCCATTTTGGGTCAAAGGCAGAGTCAATTCTGCAACTTCACTAGGCACTTTTCCGATAGATATATAAAGTGCCCAGGCTTAGAAAGGTCCCAGGAGCATTCACCTTGAACCTGAGCTTGTTGACTAGAAGCCCTGACTCCCACTCTGTCTCCGAGGTCCACAAGGACCATTTCTGAGGGCCAAGTCTGGGGCAACAGCAGGCCCTTTGCTGGGTATCAAGAGTCCAGGTTTCTGTCCCAGTTGGGGTGCATTCCCTCACTGGGCCTAAGTTTCCCTGTGTCTGATAAATACTTCCATATCTTCAGGAGACTGCGGGGTTCCTCTCTGAACAAGGCACTCCAAAGGTCAAATTTGAGATATCCAGAGCTCAACCAAATGGTTTTTGTTGTTGTTGTTTTTTGAGACACTGTCTCTCTGTAGCCCCACTGACCTGGAACTTGCTATGTAGACCAGGCTGGCCTCGATCTCCCAGAGATCCACCTCCCGAGTGCTGGGATTAAAGGTGTGCGCCACCATGCCCAGCTCCAAATGCTTTTAAGACAGGCCATCCTTCCTCCTTGGGCCCCTGGAGGCTCCTCTTTCTAGCTGTACGGGTGGATGAGTGGGTGCAGGAAGACCTGGCCTGGACACTGACCTTGGACACCTGCCCTCACCCAAGTCCCTTGACCACATGCTAGGAGCAGAGGAGGGGTGGCTGAATTCCAGGACTTGGCTGGGCCTTTCTGGGGAGCCCTAAGTGGCATAGATGATTTCAAAGTCAGCTTAAGGGTGAAGTGGCAGAGAGTTACAAAGCTTTGTATCTCAAAAGACCTCATCAAGCCCTAATGACCCAGGAGAGAGACTTAGGAGTCCTCAGCCCTAGACTATCAAAAGGTCTGCTTGCTCTACCTCTCCCCGTGTGTGGCCTTAGCAGTTTACTTGGCCTCTCTGAGGTTGCTCCTTTTGCAAAATGTGTTGGCCAGGCCACCCATCTCACAGTGTGAAGAGTCATTAAGACAGTATCTGATGATTCCTTAACATAGGCAATGCCTTTCTTGAGAGAAGCCTTCTCCATGAGCAACAGGGTGGCTTGGTGCTGAGGGCTAGAGACCTGTTTTTCCTGCCAACTGGGGAATGGCAAGTACTGGGATTGGAATCATGGCTGCAGGCCTGGGGTCCTAGTCTAGCTGTAGAAGGGTGCCAGGTGCAGGGCACGGCACCTTCTCTCTCACAGCCTCCTTGCATTTTCTTGCAGGGATAGGGTGAATGCTGCAGGGCTCTGAGATGACGGTTCAACTCCTTGGGTCTACATTCATTTATCCTGTGTTCCTAAAGCCCTCATAGGCAGGAGACATTTATGGACCTCAAGCCTTGATCTTAAGACTGAGATGTACCATACCTTTCCTAGAGAGAAAGCTGGCTGCGTCTCTCAGCTCCTGGAGGGCAGAGCTGACAACCTCAGATTTTCCTGAAAGCAACATGGCTTCCTGGGTAAGGCCAGGATGTGATGGGTAGGGCCAGGATGCTTTGGGCAGCCATGAGGGCCCAACACCAGCCTGAGCTGAGGGAATGAGGAGGGAGAGGCAGGGCAGGCAGGATATGTTCGCTTCTTTTCATGCCTGAGGGCCTCTTTTCTCTCTTGCAACTGACCAGACAGGCTAAGAACAGGGGCAGCATGCATCCTTCAGGCCCATGGGAAAAAGATCAAACGGGAGAGCTGGGTGTGAGCATACAGTCTCAGTTTTCCCACGGTACTTACATCCCTTACACCTCCACTGCCACCCTATTAAGCTCTAAGAACTTAACACTGCCCCAGGACAACCCTAGTTCCATGTAGCTCCCGGTCCCTTCATGCCCCATGGACCCACCCACTGCCTGCACTTGCCTAGCCCTTTGTTTAGAGTTCTGGCTGCCTCAAGGCTGTGCTGAGCCCCATCTCCTCTAGGTTGCTGTCCCTGCCCTCCTCAGTCAACAGTACCCATAGCCCCTGCAGGCAGCTGGCTGGTCCTGGTGTCCTTCACCACCTTGTGGTAACGCTGTGCACTTCTCTCTCACTAGACAGGGCCTTGCAGAGCCCTGTCGCTGAAATCTTGGCTAACAGACTCTCTCTGCCTGCCCGTCAGTGCCAGGCATAAGCAGGCTAGGATGGATACTCTACCAGTCCTGGAGTCCTGTCCTCCGCTTACCCATAGTCCTCTGTGGTGTCTGGTGGCTGTCATACTTGCACTTCTGTAACTGAGCAGGTGCCCTACCACTGACTCTGGAAGTTCCTCACCCTGGACAGCTCTTCCCTTGGACAGTGCTGACACTGAGGTTTTTTTCCTCCACCTCCAGCCTTCTTGGGCCCCAGGGGGCTGAAACAGGCCCAGTGCCATGCCTCCCTGTCCCTATGAGTAGCTGGGTGCTCTGTGGCCTCCAAGTGAGGGCTGCAGTAGTTATGTCCAAGCAGACGTCCTGGATTTTGCCCACTGTGGGGGCCACAGCCCTTGGTGGCAGCTGAGAAAGCCCAGGGCCAGGCATGTGTGGGCTGGATGGCAGGGGTGGATGGCAGGGGAGGACAGTCAGTCGCTGAGCACAGCTCCTGGGAGCTCATTGGTGAGCGTGTGCCAGCGCTCAATCCTCTTGTCCTTGTTTTTCAGGCAGTCAAACCAGTGCTTCAGGCGCTCGCCCTTGGCATTGATTCCCAGAACCACTCCACCTGCAGGAGAGGCCAGAGGGGCAGCCAAGGAGGGATTCAATGACCCCAGTGCCCAAGTCCTCCATCCCACCCACCAGGCTGTGGTGTGGAAAGCACCTGGGTTCCATACACATTCTGCCTGCCTGACCCAGTGCTCAAAGTCCTGTTCTTCCATTTCCAGGGACCAGAGCAGTATGGGGCAGGGTGCCATGGCATGCACTAAGGACTAGAAAATGGAAGGAAGGGCCACAGTGGCCCACTGTCATGCCCACCAGAAACTTGTGGCCACCTGGGTCACTTGTAGCACTGAGTCCAGCCCCAGGCACTGATCATCATCTTTCCAGCGCCCTTACAGAAGGATATGTGGCCCTCCCAGCCCCCCTTCTCTCTCTCAGTCTGTCTCTGGTCACAAGGGTATAGGCTGAACAATGTCTGAGGTCCCTTTCACTAGAGATGAGTGGTCCACAGCCCCATACCTGCTTAGGGCAGGCTTGGGCTAAGCAGAGTTCCCCTGTACTGCTTACCAATGAAATCATTGGATTTTCCAATGTCATAATCCCAGACAGTGACCTCCAGGGTCTTCTTGGCCAGGTCCCCATGCTTGATCTCATAACAGAACTCCTGCTGGCCAGAAGAGAGGGGTGCTCAGTGCACGGGTGTTTTCTAACTATTCCACTAGCTTCTGCCAGAGGGAAGACTAATGGGTCTCTTCCTCAACCCACATGCCCTTTGTCCCTGAAGCTGTTATCAGATGCTACAAGCTCTTGCTGCAGTGTTACTGTCCAGCAAGAGGCTCCTATCCTCCTCCCTTCTGTTGTCCTGGTGAGTTTTGCTTTAGACCCCTAGTATCTGGTGTTCCCTTGCCCACTGCCTGGGAACCCCTGGCTGTGTCTCCAAGGGCCCTCTGCTCTTCCTCCCCTCTTGCTCAGTGGAGGACCCCTGGTCCTGTGTCCTGACCCCATGTCCTGTCCTGCCAGAGGGCCCAAGTAGGTGTATCCATCCTTTAGACATTGTGTCACAACATTGTTATCTACAAAGATCACATTCAGAACCAAAAAAAAAGGGGGGCAAAAAGAAAATCTCATAGTATATTAAGTTTAGGATTTTGAGTCACAGATGTCCCCTCAACATTCCCTCTTCCCACCCTGCCTCCATCACTGAGACCTGCTCTGGAGGGCTCCCCAGACCCATGAGTTTCCCCATGACTGGGTGGCTTAATGGAGCCTCACCCACCAGGCGGGGGCTCTCCGCAGCCTCTCCCCACTCTCCCTTACCATTTTCTAGCTCCCATGGTGCCCCCTTCCCCCCAAGGGAGAGCCCCTCACAAAGCTGGACGACCCCTGGCTGTACCTCATTGAACTCTGGGTTCAGTGTTTTCTTTTTCACCGCAGTCTTATGCTTGGATTTCTTGTCCACATCTGGCTTCAGGTATCTGGAATGACAATTGGAGACATGCAGTGGCTGGGGAGAGACGTGGGCAGTGGGTGGCGCTAACATGGTGCAGCCCGCGGAGCTCTGTCCTGAAGGGGCATCCCTGGGCACCTCTGTTCTAAGCCTGGACCCTCCAGCCTGCCCACGTGTGGGCAACAGTGAGGATCTGTGTGGTTGCCCATGGGCACTTGTATCTCTGGAAGAGAATGCTCATTTCTGGAAGTGTGATTTTTTTTTTTAATTAAAAACATTTTTTTTTTGGTTTGTTTTTTTAGACAGAGTCTCTCTGCTGGCCTGGAACTCACAGAGATATGCCTGTCTCTGCCTTCCAAGTGCTGGGATTAAAGCAGGTGGTCACTAGGCTGGCTTAGAAGTATGATCTTGACACAGCTCCTATCTTCCTACCAGAAAAACCAATGCTTCCCCCCAGTGTTGAACACTGAGCACAAGGGCTCGTGCATGTAAAGCAAGTGCTCTTCAAACTAAGCTATATTCCCAGCCCCAAGAGGTTTTTGTTAAAAATAACATTTATTGCAGACTCATATACTATAAAATCCATTCTTGTCAAGTGTAAATTCAGATTTTTTCAGTATATTCCTTGAGCTGGGCGAGCATCACTCCTTTGCTGGAGCCCTGAGGGGGACCTCTTTTGACAGTTTCGGGGATGATCCCTCTAGGGAGAAGGCAGAACCTGGTGCCCTCACCTTCTTAGACTTTACCCTAGGTTCAGAGAGGTGGAGTAACTTGCTCAGGGTCACACAACCTACCAGGTGGTACATACAGGGTGGTGCTTACAAGCCAGGCTCTCTTTTCTCTGTGACAGGGTAGTCATACACAGTCTAGAGATGGGGGAGGCATCTGAGCTCTGCAGACCCTCCCTGCACAGACAGTTCCTGCTGAGTGTGTTCAACTCAATGGGTGGCCCTGGGGACCTCAATTTACTATTGTCCAGGAAATGATTAAATTCCTAAAGGTACAAGGACAGGTCCTGAGGTTTGTTGTGGTCAAGTTTCTTGTTTGATTTTGCCAAATTATCCTTCAAAAGGCTGTGTGGTTGACACATAGCCCCTGGCAAAGCTGAGTGCTATTGCTTTAAAAATTTTTGTTGGAAGTTAAGCTGGGCATATGGCCCACTGCTTTTAATTAACCTGAGCTCCCCTGAAACTCACACATGTAGAAGGAAAGAACCTGAAGGAAATTCCTGAAAATTGTCTGACCGCCACATGCACTGTGGCATGTGCACGGCACACATGCACACACACACACACACACACACACACACACACGCACACACACACATTCTCCTGCTCTCTCAATAAATAAATAAATAAATGAATAAATAAATAAATAAATATTTAAAAAATCCTTGCCTTTGGAAATGAAAACTTTGTTTTTGAGACAGATTTGCAAGTCTCCTAGATTAGCTAAAATGACCTTGAGTTCCTGATCCTCCTGCCCCCACTTCCCAAGTGCTGGGATTACAGATATGACCCGCAGCTTAAAGCTGAGGTTTTGATTAACCAAGGATTGAAAATATGCAAAAAGGGGCTGAAGAGATGGCTCAGTGGTTAAGAACACTGGTTGTTCTTGCAGAAGACCCGCGTTCAAATCCCAGCACCCAAATGGCAACTGACAACTGTCTGTAACTCCAGTTCTAGGGGATCTGACGGCCTCATCTGTTCTCTGTAGGCATTGCATGACACGGGTGCACTTACCTACATGCAGGCAATATACTCATACACATAAAATATTAAAAAAAAGAAAATATGCAAAAAAAATCCATGTTCCATCTGAGCTCAGCATGATGGTGTATACCTATAACCCCAATACTCAGAAGACCGTGAGGCAGGAGGATTGCCACAAGTTCAAGATCAGCCTGAAGTACATACTGAGACCCTGTTTAAACCTCCCTACCTCCCCCACGCCCCCCAAAGAAAAAAAGCAAGAAAAAAAACCTTCATCTGTACTGAATGTGTACAGATTTTCCTCATCATTATTCAGAATAGAACAATTTTTTACAAAGCCCCTGAGCGGGAAACAGCTGGGGTGTGGGGGGCGAGGGGTCCTGCCAGGCTGCTGTTTGCTTGCCTGTAGAAGTTGGCACCAAAGGAGACCCTGCACTCCAGGTCACCCAGCACATGATCTGGAGTTGGAATTCACCCAGCAGATTGGCACTGAACACGATTTAAAATGTGCATGCTGTTTTGGTTTAGGACCTTATTTCTGTCTGGAGAGAAACCTAGTATGACAGATAGAGGTGACACCCTGCAGGCCTTCAGTCCTGCTGCCCCTCTCAGGGAGACTCTATGAGGTTGAAGAAGCACATAGCCTGCCCTTGGTGTCCCTGGGGGATGGGCTCCAGGGCATACCTGCGGATGTCCAAGTCTTTATATAACATGACCTAGCATGTGCATGGAACCTGCCTCAGCCTGCTGCAGAATTTAAGTCATTGTGAGATGACTTAAAATACCTACCCCAGTGTATATGGTGTGTAAAAAGCTGTCACCCTGTATTGATTAGGGAACAACGGCAAGAAAACAGAATCTGCATGTGCTCAGCAGAAAGCACTTTTTCAGGAGTATTTTGTTTTCAATTTTTTGGGGGGGGTTTTAAAAAATTTGTTTTTATTTTATGTGTTTGTCTGAGTGCCTGCATGTATGTATGTGTACCATGTGTGTGCCTGGTGCCCCCCAAAACCAGAAGAGGGTGTTTGATCCCCAAACTGGAGTTAGATGGTTGTTAGCCACCATGTGGGTACTGGGAACTCATCCTGGGTTCTCTGCAAGAGCAGCAGGTGCTCATAATTGCAGACCATCTTTTAGCACCCCTCACCTTTATTTTTGAGATAGGATCTCATGTGTACCCTGGATGGCCTGGAGTTTGCTTTGTAGACCAGGCTGGCCTTGAACTTGTGACAAGTCTCCTGACTCTGCTTCTCAAATGCTGAGATTACAGGTGAGCATCACTACACCAGGCTCGAGTAGACTTTTCTTTTCTTTCCTCTTCCTCCTCCTCCTCTTCTTCTTCTTTTTTTTTTTGTCTTTTTGAGACAGGGTCTCCCTGTAGCCCCAGCTGGCCTGGAACTCACTATGTAGACCAGGCCAGCCTTGAACTCACAGAGATTCTCCTGTCTCTGCCTCCTGGGTGCTGGGATTAAAGGCATGCGCCACCACGCCAGGCTTCTCCCTGTTAGCATTTAAAAATATTTTATAGCCGGGAGGCAGAGGCAGGTGGATCTCTGTGAGTTCAAGACCGGCCTGGTCTACATAGTGAGTTCCAGGCCAGCTGGGGCTACAGTGAGACCCTGTCTCAAAAAAGACAAAAAAAATATTTTTTTTAATGTATAGAGAGATGGCTCAGCAGTTAAGAGCACTAGCTGCTCTTGGTTTGAATCCCAACACCCACATGGCAGCTAACAACCGTCTGAAACTCAAGTTCCAGGGGATCTGACACCTTCTTCTGTTCTCCGAGGGCATTGCATGACACAGGTGCACTAATACAAATGCAGGCAATACACTCATACACATAAAAATATTTTATTTATTATTTTTTTGTGCACTTGTGTCATGCAATGCTTTGCAGAGGTCAAAAGAGGGTGTTGGATCTCCTGGAACTGGAGTTTCAGATGGCTGTTAGCCATCATGTGGATGCTGGGAATTGAACCTGGGTCCTCTGCAAGAACAGTCAGTGCTCTTAACCACTGAGCCACCTCTTCACTCCGGGTTCTCCCTGTTGTGAGCAGCACTGTACAATAGCTTTCCACCTGCTCATGGGCTTCTAGGCATCAAAGCGGAAAGAAAACGGTGCAGTCATCAGCATACAAGGTGTCCACTTCTCTGAGCTCACCAGCTGTCCCTGCTAAGCTACAGTCAGCTGATGCCCTCACCTTTGCAGCTTCCTCTTGTGCTTGGTCTCTAATCCACTGGAATACTTTGCCGTGTGTGTGTGTGTGTGTGTGTGTGTGTGTGTGTGTGTGTGTATGATGGGGGTGGAACACATGTGCCACACAGTGCACTTGAAGGTCAGAGGACAACTTTATGGAGTCGGCTCTCTCCGTCCACCTTTACGTGGGTCCCAGGTGTCAAATTCAGGTCTTTGGGCTTTTGCAGCACGCACTTTCACCTGCTGAGCTATTTCCCTGGCCTGTGTTTAACCTTTTTTTTTCTTTTCTTTTCTTTCTTTCTTTCTTTCTTTCTTTCTTTCTTTCTTTCTTTCCTTAAAGCCTCATCTTTCAGAGAAGGGGGCAAGCTGTGGTCTTTCTTTCTTTCTTTCTTTCTTTCTTTCTTTCTTTCTTTCTTTCTTTCTTTCTTTCTTTCTTTCTTTCTTTCTTTCCTTCCTTCCTCCTTTCTCTCTCTCTCTCTTTCTTTTCTTTCTTTCTTTCTTTTTTCCTGTCTTTTTGACCCAGGGTCTCTTCTCTGTAGCCCCAGCTGTCCTGGAACTCACTATGTAGACCAGGCTGGCCTTGAACTCACAAAGATCCGCCTGCCTCTGCCTCCTAAGTGCTGGGATCAAAGGCGTGTGCCGTCACGCCTGGCTCTTTCTTTCTTTTTTGAGACAGGGTCTTCCTGAAGCCCTAGCTGGTCTGGAATTCACTATGTAGATCAGGCTAGCCTCTGCCTCCCAAGTGCTGGGATTAAAGGCATTTGGGAGGCACACCCTGCTTTAACTTTTTAATGGATTTCTAGCTGTTCTCCAACAGGTGGCACCATGTTTTTTTTTTTTTTTTTTTTTTTCTCCTTTTTTTTCAGACAGGGTCTCACTATGTAGTACTGACTGGCCTGGAACTCACAGAGATCCTCCTGCCTCTACCTCCCGAGTGCTGGGATTAAAGGCTTTTGTTAAAATGCCAGAATAGATGGTACCATTTTTGACATACAATTTAAAACATGACAAAAATGACAGTGACCAGTGGGTATGGCACCCCAGATTTGTGCTAGGATAGATACTGACTTGTATGGGATGGAGATGCCCCCAGAGTCCTGGTTACCTGTGCCTCCTCCATGCACTCTTAGACTAGGCCCATTTTTGTTCCCATAATGTAACTCCTGTCTCTTCTGCTCCAGTGTCTCCATCTTCCTGCTGAGCCGAATCCCTCCCGAGCCCCATCTCAGGAAAGTTTCCATTGTGAACTCAGATGACACCCATCCTTTTGTGAAGAGCCCCAAGCACTGAGGGTGAGTTCTATGGTACCTGCCTCCACCTCTCCCTGGGTCTCTGAGCATAGCCTAGTCCGGTCAGGTCCACTTCTGTGGGGCCCAGGTCACTGGCAAAACCCCTAGCCAGTGTCTGTCTCAGCTCCACTGTCAGTGGTAGGGAGGGAAGGACACTGGGCTGGGCATAAAAGGGAAGATTTGACACAGGTCCTGTGCCAGATCCCCTAGCCTCCTGGCTCCTGGCACTAGCCCTGCCTCTTCATTTAACCTGCTTGTGACCCTGGGTGCCAGGATCATAGGGAAGCCTGTCCGTGACATCAGGAGAGAATTATCCTCGGAGCTGGGGATATAGCTCAGCTGGTTTGGTTTTTAGCATTGCATAAAACAGTGTGGTGGCACAGACCTGCAATCGCAGTGATCAGGAAGTAGAGGCGGCGAGATTAGAAGCTCAAGGTCACCCTTTGCTACACAGCCAGCTTGGAACACAAGTGACAATGCATATCCCCCCTCACCAAAAGGAGGTAACTGTTCTCTATCTGGGGGACCCTGGGAAGTCAACCTGCTCCTGCAGGCTTCAGTGTCCCAATCTGTGAAATGGACTGGGTGCACTTAACCCCAGGGTCATAAAAATAGCATGTAAGCAAATGCTCTGTGGACACAGACCCACTGTCCCAAGGCCCCCAGTGCTCGCCATACTGGGTTCTGGCTGCACACTCACATTTTCACATAGGGGTCCGAGTAGCCGTTAGCATCCATGGCGGCCAAGTGTGCACAGCGCACGATGCCCACCAGCAGGCCCTGCTTCTGCGAGCTGTACTTGAGTGAAATGAGGATGCGGCCTCGCTCCTCCAGGGACTTGTCCTCAGTCTTGTCCACCTGTAGGAGAGGGTGGTCAGTCTGCTGTTCTCAACTGATTACACCCTCTTGGCTAAGCAGCCACTGAGGCTGCTCACTTGCTCACTTCCCTAGAATTTACTTGCCACTGCTCAGCTTGACATATGTAAAGATTTATGAAACCCAGGGGCCTGGGGTACAGCTCAGTGGTAGAATGTTTGCCTAGTGCAAGTGAGGCTGTGGTTCTGTCTACACAGACACACAGACACACAGACACACAGACACACACACACACACACACACACACACACACACACACACACACACACACACACACGATGAGAGACTGAGACCGAGAGCACAAGAGAGAGACAGAGAGAGATCCAACTCCTGAGTCCTCTATGAAAGCTTCTGGAACACAGCTTGACTCTTCAGTTTCCATCTCTCCTGTGACCTATAGCTTCTGCCTATAGAAGTAGAAGCAAGTGGCAGTGACAGAGACGGCCTGGCCTGCAGAGCCTGATGCATTCACCACCTGGCTCTTTTGTAGTAAACGTGTTCACACCTGCTCTGTCTGTCTTCATACCCAAACCAGCCTTCTCTGTGGACTTCAGCTATAAGCTGGTCCCCTCCTTCACGTTTTTTGCTCAGCTCCACCTACTCCCAGCATGAATGTATGCAGGATGCCAGGAGAGCCTAGAAGACAGGCTTAAGTCATCTCTCCAGTCCCAGGGCAATAGGGAACCAGGTGGGATGCTACCCACCCCCTCTGAGCTCAGCTGTCCCAGGGCCCATCTTAAAGTTGGACCTTAACCCTAGGCCTCCACATCCTATCCACGCATACCCTGACTGGAGGGAGTCTTCTTCATTCCTCATCCATCTCCAAGGCCACCCAGGTAAGCCCAGCTGGAGCCCCATATCCCCTGAGGGTCCCCCTCAGGATCTGCCAAGCTCCTCTCTTAAAGGTGCAGTGTTTGCCTGCAGCTGTGATTTGCCTAGGACTGACCCGAGTCCCTGTGTGACCATGTCCAAACCTTCCTGGAGATGAGAGTCCAGGCAGGTGAGAGGGATGCCTGCACAGAGGTCACAGCTGTGACCCACGGACCTTTCCCCAAATTTTATGCCCAGAGCAGACATGGTTAATTAATCCCAGCATTCACCCTGAGCTCAAACAGCCTTGGCATCCTTCTCAACATAGTGTGTAGGTGGCCATGACCAATGGAGCAGGCCAGGCATGCAGTTCATTGAGCCACTCTGGACTCTGCACATGGTATATATAAGCAGAGATATTTTTAGCTGTCTTTTCAGCAGATGACATCATGCTTTGGGCTGTCTCACATGAGGACCACTGAAAACACATACTATACAGGCCATAAAATCTAAAATGTATCACTAAAATGTGTCCTTACAACCATAGTGGTTATCCCAAACTTCACTACTGTGGTCATTGTGTGTCCCAGAGTAGACCAATGAGCAATACAGCAAATTTAGGAGGTTCAGAAACAGCCAGATAACACTCCACTTACATAACCCTCACTCACACATCTACATCCACCCAAGTGCACATACTCACTAATACACGTTGTGCACGTGTGCACACACAGTCCATACACGTCCATGTACCCACACCCACATGGTTGATTATTTATGCCTGTAATCAGAACTCAGGGACCCAGCAGCAAGGTGGCACCATCCTGAGTGGCATAGGCCATTTGGAAAATCTGGGTCACCTGTGGCAAGTGACTATGATCACCTGCAAAGGTTCTATCCATCACATGTGCGCCTGAATGGGAGAGGACATGACAGGAGAATACAGAGAAAGTCACCCACAAATACAGGATTGGCTTCTGGGTGAGTTCCTAGAGCTCCTTGGCTTAGGCTCTGGGGAGACTGTCATGTCCTGAACACTGAGCAGCAGAGGGCTCAACATGTATCTTGGCTCTGGGCACTGAGGCCCCCTAAACCCCTGCCCTCCCCCAGCCCTTCTGAATCAGGTGCAGACAAGGCGAAGAGTGATGGCAGGCAGGCATGTGATTGGAGAACAGACACCAAGACTCTAGGAGGGCTCAGCTGCTGAAGCCAACCATGGGGCAAATTTGTGCTGACATCATTTCCAAACAATTATCCTTTCTAAGAAAGAATTATGCGCTGTCTGCTCTGGGTATCTCATGGGCACTTCCAGGCTAATACATTCCAACTGGGTGGCCCCTAGTGAATGGCTCCCTCCGCCCTCCCTGCACTTAGGTCCTAAACCTGGAACTGATCTCTGCCGTGGAGGCTGCTGGTACATTCTATCTAGCAGCAGGCCTTTGTCCCCAACAGGCTCCAATCCATCTCTTTCCTGTCTCCATCCCTCATCTCTCTCCTCCCTCTGCTTTTGGCCATTCTGAGCCCAGGAGACAGGGAGCCTCTTAAGATGTCACCATTCCCTGCCTGATGGCACAGGCCTAGAATCTCAGCTGAGGAGGCTGAGGCAGGAGGCTCAAAATTTCAAGGCCAATCTGGGCTACAGAACAAGTTCAAGGCCAGTCAGGGCAACTTAGCGAAACCTTGTTTCAAAGAAAAATTTTGAAAAGGTCGCTGGGGAGATGGCTCAATGGGTAACAGCACTTTCACAAACCTGAGGACTTGAGTTTGGATTTCCAGCACCTAAGTGAAAGTGTACATAGGTGCTGTTGGGAGGGGCAGAGCCAGGCAGAGCCCCTGAGCTCACTGACCAGCTAGTCTAGCCAATCAATGAGCTCTGGGTTCAGAAAAATGAGGTGGAGAGCAATTTAGGAATGGACCTGATGTTGACCTCTGACCTTCACATACATACACATATACTCCATACACTACACATGCACACACACACACACACACACACTATATACACACATACAAAATTTTAGTTGTTTTTTTTTTTTCCACCAGATCTCACTACATAGCACTGGCTGGCCTGGAACTTGCAATGCGGACTAGGATGGCCTCAAAGAGATCCACTTACCTCTGCCTCTTGAGTTCTGGGATTAAAGGGGTGTACCACCATGCCCAGACAAAATTTTTTTGTTTTTTGTTTTCTTTGGCCTTTTTTGAGACAAGATCTCCCTGTAGCTCCAGCTGACCTGGAACTTGTTATGTAGACCAAGCTGGCCTTGAACTCACAGAGATCCCCCTGCCTCTGCCTCCCAAGTGCTGGGACTAAAGGCATGTGCCACCATGCCAGGCTGCCCAGACAAAATTTTAAAAAAGAAATAAAAATAAATTTAAAAAGGGCTGGGGATGTGGCTCAGTCAGTGGAAGAGTGCTTGCCTATACGCATAAGGTCCTAAATTTAGTTCCCAATACCTCCAGATAGGTTGCCTTGGCTTACTTAGCACCCTCTGTGGGGTTGGGGTGAAATCACCCCCTGTCGTCTCTGTGATGTTCCCGCTGGGGTTTGCCCCTCTGCTGTGCTCTCTGCTGTACACATGGGCCCTGTCCTGTGCCACCCACAGGCAGTGAGTCCCTCCCAGCTCCCTGCAAATGTGTCTGGTGCCTAGAAGATGCTCATCAAACCACTGCCTGGGGCCCTTCCTGGCCAGGCCATGACTGGGGTGCTGGAGACTTCTCCACTCACTGGCAGCTGCTTCTCCAGGCAGATGCTGAACGTCTTGGTGTGGTTGGGCTTCAGCTTCTTCAGGGGCACTCGTGTCTCCCCAATGAACTCATTGTGGCGGAATTTGTCCTCATCACACACGGAGATCCTGGGGGTGAATGGCTTCCACAGTCAGTGGGAATTGGCAAGTGGTAGGGTGTCCCCAGGTGGGGTGCAGGCCCGGGGCCCTCACCTACCTCAGGGTCTTCCGAATCATGTCCTCGTCCGTGATCCCATAGTAAGTGAGGGTCTCATTCCACGTGGGGTTCAGAGTGTTCCGAAGAGTTTTTGTTCTGAGCTTATTTGCCTGGAGAAGGAGAGTGATCTTATTAGCCTAAAGAATGAGGCCAGCAGAAGAGGGGCCCCAAAGCTGGCCTCATTTGAGCCTTTGACAGGGTACCTGAGGCTTTGGGTGAAACCAACATTATTCATTAGCTGACTTTAAAACAGCATGTCTTAGACACAAGTGGGCCATGTGATCACAGGGGTCTTTTTTTTTTTTTTTTTGTCTTTTTGAGACAGGGTCTCCCTGTAGCCCTATCTTGCTTGGAACTTACTATGTAGACCAGGCTGGCCTTGAACTCACAGAGATCCACCTGCCCCTGGCTTCTGAGCGCTGGGATTAAAGGCCTGTGCCACCACATCCAGTTAATCACAGGGGTCTTTAAAGCAAAGGAAGAGCCAGGTGTGATAGTGGACGCCTTTTATCCCAGCACTTGGGAGGCAGAGGCAGATAGAACTCTCTAAGATCGAGGCCAGCCTAGCCTACAGAGCAAGTTCCACACCCAGCAGGGTCTAAGGGGAGACCCTGTCTCAAAACAAAAACAAACAAAACAGCAATGGAGTTGCCAAGGGAGTCAGGTGGGGAGCTTGGTAGGATGTCACTTACTTCAAACATGGGGCAAGGGCTTTGAACCCAGAATAAACACGGTCCTACTGACATCTTGACTTTTAGTCTAGTCCAGTGCGTGACCTGTTTGACATATGACTGAAGAACACGGAAGTAGTAAAGGTGTTTAAGTCACTAAGCTGTGGGGATTTGTTGAGGGAGCCATAGACAGCTTATCTGAGGAGGATCCCAGGCCCCTGTGACTGCAGCAGGGTGGAAGTGATGGTAGTGGTGGGATTCTGCAGGAGGGACGGAGGGAGGGAAGTTGGCCATGTGACTCATTCCCTTTGGGAAGTTAAAGTGTGCAACTTAATAGATGTTAGCCTAATTAAAGACAAGGGCATTCTAGCCGGGCATGGTGGCACACACTGTTAGGCAGAGGCACGAGGATTTTTGTGAGCTCAAGGCCAGCCTGGTCTACATAGTGAGTTCCAGACCAGCTGGGGGCTACAGGGAGACCCTGTTTCAAAAAAAGAATCTTTTCAAAAAAAAAAACAAAAAAAAAAAAAAAAAAAAAAAAGGCAAGGACCACCTGCCTCAATCACCTCAGCCCCCACTCCTTCTGTCTAGAATTCATGCTTTCCTACAAAATGCCTTGTCCAAGCAGGGATATTGCCTCTGCTCTTCCATCTGTCTGTGGTCATCTGGCATGGGAACAAAGGTTCTGTGGTCAAATAAACCAGGCAAATATTGCCCACTCCGTCCCCTTTATGAAGACACGCAGAGGCTCATCAAAGGCTCTGACAGGTCCTGCAGTCAAGAAACCTATTTATTTGACCATATAGACCTTTTTTGCATATATTAACCTTCAGCTAAGATGGCTTCTTATTGTGTTCAAAATGTGTCCATTTCTCGGGGGTGTTTTACCTACTTAACAGGTAGATAAAGAACTCATGAGGTCCTTGGGAGGATGGGGGGTAGGGGTGAGGGGGTGGGGGTGCTGACAAAGGGCCCTGAATGGATATGTGGCTGTGGGCCTCCTGGGATATAACAGTCATAGTGCTATGCCTGAGGCTGAGTCCCTCACCTTGCTGGCTCCAGGCAGCAAGTGTAGCTTGACATAGGGGTCTGCCAGTCCATTGTGGTCCATCGGCTTCAGGCCCTAAGCAGAGACCAGAGAGGTGTGAATGGAAGTGGGGACACAGAGGGCTTAACAGACTGTATCTCCTCCCAGATGTTCCCAACCCCACCTCCCCAACCCCCATCTCACCGGCCTCTTTTACATTCTACTGAAGTCAGGTGACATACCTCACTCTGAATAAGCCTCACTGTCCCCTTTGGGTAGGCTTGTCCCTCTTCCCAACTCCCCTTTCCACTTTCCAGACACAGCTCCTGGTTGGGACTTTCTCTCAGACCCCAAGTCTCTGTGATCTGCTATTCCCTCCCTCCCCATGTTCCGTGGGCCTCTGGAACAAATTCTAAGGTCTGGGAGGCCTGTTGAGAGGGCTCCACTTCTCTCTGTATTTACCCCAGTGCTGAGAGTTGACGTCCGAGATCAGAGACTGCTTGGCCATAGATGGTCCCTCCACAAGATGGCAGCCCTCACTAACTTTGTTTTTAGTTTCTTTTGCCAACTCAGGAGTGTTCAGTCCCGAAGAGACCCACAAAGGCCTCAGGTGACCTTCAGGAACTTCTGGGAATTGTGTTTACTCCCTTCTGGGAGGGGCCACTGGGACTAGGGAGACGCAGAGCCATAGCCCAGGAAGTGACTCACAGGCTAACTGCAAATTTCCTACTCACTGGGTGAAGGAGGGGTGGCTGTGCTCCCAGGCCAGGCTCCCTATGCTTGGGGGAACTCTCCATGACCCAGGTGGGACGCCCACTCATCACTTCTATTGGGGTCCCAGGCCCAGGTTGGGAGTCAGTGGACCAGATACTTTGCAGTCTCAGCTTTATTGTAGGTAAAGAGTTTAATAATTCCAACTGCTGGGTGGAACAGAGCAGGGAGGAATGCAGATGCAGGACTGGGAGGCCAGACTTCCCTCCCTTCCCCAACCCATCCACAGATGTTGGAGATGTAGCTGGGATAAGAGTGGGGATCTGAGCCAGGCCCAGAGTTGCTGGGACTTGACCTGAAGACCCTGTAGGCCATGGTGATGGTGGCCTTCCACACCCAGCTCCCTCTCCTGGCCTTCCACTCTTTCCCAGGAAGTATGTGAAGTGAAGAGCAGTTATCATGGGGGATCTAGTGGCCCAGCCCAAGCAGGGGACAGCTGAGGGCTCTTTTATTTCTACACTTGTTGGCTATCGATATGATGTTTTCACTGGGGTAGAGTTCTCTTTTCTCTTGTTAAACCCATCTCTGAGGCCTGGGGCACCTGGAGGGCTGGCTATGGCAGGGGCTGCCTGCCAGACTAAGATGGCAATAATGCCTGCTCTGCCTTTTGAATCTCTAGTCTGTGATGTGGTCCCTGCTGTCATTTCTATAGCCTTCCACCTGGCAGGTCCCTCAACACCCCGGAGGGCCACACACTGGGCCAGAAGAAGGAAGGCTGGTAGGCTCAACTAGAGGCTGTGTGGCTGTTTTTGAAGTAACTTCCCAGCTCAGGTGGCCTCATTGGCTCTGAGTCTGGGGTCTCATCTTCAACAGAGCAGGATAGGGTACCCTCAGGCCTCTGTGTGGGCTGTCCCCAGGAGCCTGACCAAGTCCAGAAAAGGGGGACAGGAGGCTGTGTTCAGGCCAGAGGTTGGAAGGGGGTTGTCTCTGGCAGCCCCCACTAGATTGCTGTGTTTGCAAGAGATAATATCAGATGCCATCATATCAGAGAGAGGCAGAAGAGGTACTATATGTGGCAGCTGCTGTTGGCACTGAGGGGACAGGTAGGGCCTAGTTTATAGAGTATACCACAACCACACTCTGTTGTTCCTGAACTGTCCAGAGGCTACTGCTGGCAGAGAATTTGGGACAGGAGCTTCCTGGATGGTCAAAGCCAAGGCTCCCAGGGCTCAGTCTAAAGAAGAGGGTCAGACATGAGCCCAGAGAGATGACTAGGTGCATAGGGGAGGAGGCTGTATGATTCTGCCCCATGAAACCTCTGGAGACAGAGGAAAGGGGCAGCTTGGGTCAGGCAAGGGGAGGCAAGGGAAGATAGGCAGCTGTTTTGTGGGCAAAGAGCTTCAGTTTGGCAAGGTGAAAAGGTTCTGGGATGGAGAGCAGTGAGGTAACAGTTGTGAATGGGTTCAGCATTAAGCTGTACATCTGTGATATTTTATCACAATTAAAAAGTAAAACGTTGCCAGGCGTGGTGGTGCACGCCTTTGATCCCAGCACTTGGGAGGCAGAGGTAGGCGGATCTCTGTGAGTTCAAGGCCAGCCTGGTCTACATAGTGAGCTCCAGGACAGCTGGGGCTACAGAGAGACCCTGTCTCAAAAAAAGGGGGGGGGGAAAGAAAAAAGAAAAAGGAGCACCAAGTCTCCCACCATAGCTCTCTGCTGGGTTCTGAACTCTGATTGGAGATGAGTTTCCTGGGTTCATAGGTTGGTGGATGCACACTACTAGGCACTGTTCTGTAAGATTGTTAGACAGACTGCCAGGTGCCAAGTGTTTATTCCTCCATGGCTTACAGCAGCCACACAGGGTGGGTGGTGAGTCCTGTTTACAGAGTAACAAATCAAGACAGATCCTCACCTAGGGGGTGATGGTGGCCAAGTGAGGGTACAGCCTGGGAGTCCATCTACCTGGAAGGTCTGAGTGTGAGCCCCACTTCAACTGGCACTCTGGGATCCCCTTCCAGAGCCCTAGCTTTTCCCAGGCCTGTTCCCCTTCCTGTAGAGATTTACAGAGAACAGGGCCTCCATAGTTCAGAGGCATCTGGTCTCCACCTCTGTGTGCATCGTAGATTCACCTCTGTGTGCACACAGGCAAAGAAATACACACAGATGTGCACACACATGCACACACTCACAAGGAGCTATGAGAAGGCAGGAAGCCCAGGCTCTGGGATGGAGAGGAAAAGGCAGGCTCTTCTAGAGCGGCCTAATAGCTAGTTCCCAAGCACAGCAGGCTTTACAAAGCCGGGAGATGGGAAGGACAGGCTCTGCCTGGCTCTGCGGCCTGCCTCCACCTCACCAGCCTGGGGTCACCTGGTGCTCAGCTCTGTTCTCAGGGTCACAGTCTGAAAGGTCCCAGAAGAGTGAGCAGGGGCTTAGGATGAAGTGGCTGGCCCATCAAGTACCCAATCTGGGCCCTGAGCCTAATGTGAATGCTTCTCTTACCTGTCCATGCAAGTCCACATGGGGTGACCCAGGCTGGACAGGGGCATGGCATCCTCCAGGTGACCACAGAGACAGGGGAAACCTCTCAGTGGCAAGTTGGGAAGGAGGGAGGAATAGAAGGATGCCAGCAGGTTGGGGAGACTGAGTGGGGTCTGGGCCTGGCAGCTAGTGGAAGCTAATCAATCTGTGCTGGGCTGGACCTAGGTCCTTCCATAGCCCTACTGGGGTCTCTACTGGCTACAGGGGCTCTTACCTTGTGGGAAAACATGAACTTTGGCACCTTTCTCCCAGAGGGAACCATGGGGGTAGGTGGAAGGAACAGTATGGTTGAGAACATGGAACAGACACAGGTTCAAGGGCAAAGCTCCAGGGGAACACGGAAGATGGAGCCTGGCCAGGCCACAGTGTGATCCACCAGTGCCCACAAACCCCTACAGCAAGGCTCAGAGGGCCTCTGGGGCTCAGTCCCAATGGCTAACATTCTGCCTGGAGCCTTCTTCAGTGGCACCTGCAGCTTTAGGAGCAGGAGAAACTTCAGGGGGTTCAGGGAGCCTAGGGTCTGGAACCTTCGAGTGGGGAGACTCAGAGACTTCAGTATTCAACCTGCTTCTCCCTTCATTCCCCTGCAAGACAGGTCCGCCACCTCCCTACTTCCTCAGCAACCCCTCCCAGGTTCTGAAAACTTCCAGGCCTTCTAAATTCTCCTTCCATCCTTCCCCCAAATGCCTTACTGGACAAGGCAAATCTGGAGAGTGGGCAGCTGTACCCCACATAGCAAGGACACTAGGAAACCTGGACAAAAAGGATGGGTAAGAATAGCCCCCTTTCCAGAGCCCAGAGGTGGGGCTGGCACTGGGCCTACCTTGGCCTTGCTGATGGTGCAGTGCAGGGCGTTGTTTTCCTGGTCATAGAGTAGACTGAAATCCAGTGTGCCCAGGGCAGCTGTGGGAGAAGAAGGTGTGGGTCATACGCTGGCTACGTCAGGAGGAGTGATGCTCTCCCCTGTGTGGCTTCAATAGTTACATTTAGTGTGTATGTATGTATATATGTATTTATTTATTTAATTTATTTATTATTTATTTTTGTCTTTTTGAGACAGGGTCTCTCTGTAGCCCTAGCTGGCCTGGAACTCACTATGTAGACCAGGCTGGCCTTGAACTCACAAAGATCTGCCTGTCTCTGCCTCCCTAGTGCTGGGATTAAAGGCATGTGCCACCATGCCTGGCTATTTTTTAATTTTTAAATTTATTATTTTTATTTTATGTACATCAGTTTATTGCCTGCGTGTGTGTAAGTGCACCTGTGTTGTGCAAATCCTGCAGGGATCAGAAGAAGGTGTCGGATTCCCCTGGAACTGGAGTTATAGACTTGTTAACTGCCATAAAGGTGGTGGGAATGGAACCCAGATCCTCTGTAAGAACAGCCAGTGCTCTTAACCGCTGAGTCATCTCTCTAGCCCCAATAATCACATTTATTATTATTAATTATTACTTTCATTTTGTTTTGTTGAGACAAGGTCTCCCTATGTAGCCCTGGCTGGCCTTGAGCTCAGAGGTTAGCTCACCTGTGTCTGCTGAGTGCTGGGATTAAAGGCATGCACCACCATGCCCAGCTATTATTACTACTTTTACTAATTTTTCTTTTTTTTTCGTCTTTTTGAGACAGCCTCTCCCTGTAGCTCCAGCTGTACTGGAACTCACTATGTAGACCAGGCTGGCCTCAAACTCACAAAGATCTGCCTGCCTCTGCCTCCCAAGTGCTGGGACTAAAGGCGTGCGCCACCACGCCGAGCATATTATTACTATTTTTTACATTTGTTTATCTATGTCTGTGCACGTGTGCCACAACATGCATGTGGCGGTCAGGGGACAACTTTCAGAAGTCAGTTCTCTCCTTCTATGTGGGTCATGGGGATTGAACTCAGGTCATCAGGCTTGGTTGCTGAGCCAGCTTGCTGGCCCAAAAGTCATATTTTTTCCCCAAGATTAAAAGATTTCTTCGGGGCTGGAGAGATGGCTCAGCGGTTTGTCCGTAACTCCAGTTCCAGGGGATCTGACAGCCTCTTCTGACCTCGGTGGGCATTGCACGGGTGCACTTACCTACATGCAGGCAATACAATGCATACACATATTTAAATTAAAAAAAATCTTTTTATGTGTATGCGTGTATTGCCTGCGTGTAGGTAAGTGCACCCGTGTCGTGCAATGCCCTCAGAGGTCAGAAGAGGCTGTCGGATCCCCTGGGACTGGAGTTATGGACAGTTGTTAGCTGCCATGTGGGTGCTGGGATTCAAACCTGGGTCTTTAGCAAGAATATCCAGTGTTCTTAACTGCTGAACCATCTCTCCAGCCCCAAATAAAATACTAAAAAAAAAAAATGATTTCTTTGGAAGCAGCAGCAGTATACAGCAAAAATGTCCTCTATAGTCCTCGGAAGTGAACATGCAGGATCTGTGTGAAACAGGCAGAGGAGGTAGTCTCCCGGCACACCCACCAACACAATCCAGAACACACCCTCCAACACAACAGTCTCCACCCCACACACACAGATACTAGCTGTCCCCAGCTGCTGTCTTCAGGCTGCTGCACAAGCTAAAAGGGAAAGTCATTTTTGTTTCTAAATGGCAGGAATTAGTTAAAGCACGCAAAGTACGGTCACAGCAAAGCTTAGTGAAACCACACGGGGATCACATTAATGCCATTTTAAATTATCCAGTTGACTTTAGTATGGAAGATTAAGAAAGGGGATGGATCCCCAGTGCTAAGGCTCACAGTTGACTGACAGAGAATGGAGGCCCAGGTTCACATTCAGAACTCCCATCACCAGGCCAATCCAAAAAGCTCAGGAATAAGGCAAAGATGTAGATGGACGTGTGGTTGAGGGGCATAATGCTGACCTAGTCTGTACCAGGCCCTGGGCTCCATCCATAGCACAGCAGAACAAAACAAACACCTCAAGTTCTACAAACACAGATTTAAAGCTTGCAACCATTAACAACAGAACTGCTCCTTCTAGGTAACAGGTGAGGATCAAAAGGCATACCCATCACTAACTTTTGGACTGGGGATCTATCTTAGTGGTAGAGGCCCTGGGTTCAATTCTCAGCACTATAAGAGAAAAAGAAAAATTACCACTATTTTTGTTCTAAATAGGAATAGAAGAATGTCATTTGCCCAGCTCAATGGTTGGTACTGTGACAGTTGGACACCTACTGTGTGCTACCCTCTGCATCCATCTCCCCCACTGGCACCCCTGGGAGTGACAATATTCTGTCACTGTCAGACGAGGAGCTGAGGCTTAGAAATGCTGGGTGGGTCAACCTAACCCCATGAAAGGTACCTGATCACACCTAGGCTGTCAGTTCAGAGCCCAGCTCCCAAATCCTGCTCTGTGCTGCCTGTTCCAATCCAATGTGTTGCTCATGTGTACCAGGCACCCTGGGTACTGTGCCTCAGTTCCTCCAACATGGGCAATGTCACAGGGAGGTCTGAGAAAGCAGAGGTGAGGCTCTAAGAGGTTGCAGGCCTTGACCAGCCTGATTGCTGATTGAACCCCCAGGTGACACATAAGACTTCGGTTCCCTGATCTCTCTAGGTTTTCAGAGCCCCTGAGTGGGCAATGGCAATGAGGACCCCAGCTGGGTCTTCACGCTGCTGCCAAGGGCCAGAGAGAGGATGCGGTAATAATTGGGTTCCGCTGCCACCTTTGGGGCAGTCACCTGCTGCAGCTGTGGCCTTCAGTGTCCCAAAGGTACCTAGTAAGAGGGACAGGGCCTGGGTGGGAAAGACCTAGGAAGTCTCCAGACAGCAAGATGCATGTTCTTGCATGTCTCCAAAGCCCTGATCCTGTCCCTAACTACTGGGCAGATCATAATGTTGTCCAGTGAACCAAGAGACATGGAGAGCCCCAGGAGGGACTCTGGGCCTCAGTGTGAGCGGGGCCATCAGGGAACGCTTTCTGGAGGAAGTGATTCCTCACCTGAGCCAGGTGGCATCAACAGATAGTAGCTGGCCAGTGGCATGAAGAACTTGGGAAGGACCAACCATAGGTACCTGGTAGACAGGGGCTGGCATGATGCTGAGGTGAATGAAGGGTTGGACTAGGACTCTGTACTCAGCAGGAGTCTACAATGGACTTGAAGACAGGTTCTAGGTGAACTGTGGCAACAGCTGATTCCAGCAATACCCACTGCATGCATCTAGCCTGTGGCTGTCTTCCCACGCAATGGCAGAACTGAGGACATGCTGGCCTACAGAGTCCTGCATACTCCCTACATGGCCTTTGCAAAGCCTGCAGGTTTCTGGACAGCACAGCTCCTGATATGACAGTTCCTTGGGTCTTTGGGGAGGCAGATGCATCAAAGGCTATGTATTCAATTGCCCTTTTTTTTTTTTTTTTTTTCCTGAGGGGCACATAGAGGTGTGTCAGATTCTCCCAGTTCCCAACAGGTGATTAATGTCGCTGTCTCTGTCTCCAGCACAGTGTGAATGTGGAGGGGCAGCACTTGCTGTCAGATTCCACAGGTTCAAATCCCAGTTCTGCGTATCCCTGTCTTGTGACTTTGGACACCTTTCCTACCTCTTTGTGCCTCAGTTTCCTCATCTGCAGCCTGGAGACAACTATCAGTACTTTATGGCACACTGGGCTCATCAGGTGATTACATGTGCAGCAGATGCACTTTGGTGATGCTTCTAGATCATTACGTTTGCCCCACTGAGGAATTTCTGGAAGTGGAAGGAACTGCCCTCAACTGGATCACCCTCTCCCTGCCTTTGGGAACACTATGTATAAATGGTCACTTAAGCTTTTTGGAATAAGTAGACTCATTACTATGACTATAATGATTCCTCTTGTGGGATACACTCACAGTCAGACAGAAGGGGTATAAGGTGACCCCTTAACTGGGGGTCCTCAGTGGTGCCTCATTTTGTTGCCCTCTCCCTTCACTCCAGCCTCCGGTATCACAAATAGCTTTTCCTTCCGTTCAGTTTCGTCTAGAAAACCAGGCAATACTACTTGTTAGAGCTGTGTTTAGACTAAGAGTTACTAGGGCTGGAGTGAGTTGAAAGTGAAGAATGTATGGATTAGCGATGGAGAATGTGTGGATTAGCGATGACCACAGCGAGCCCTTTGCTGTGGCATCCTCGCTCCTTTCCATCAATCAGCTGGGTAGGTGAGTATGCTACAGATGAGGATGCTGTGAGTGAGGATCTAATGATAAGGGTGCAGCAGGAGAGGATGCTGCAGGTGAAGATGCTGTAGAAGAGGATGCTGAGGGTGAGGATGCTGTGGGAGAGTATGCTGGGGTGAGGACGCCATCTTACAGGGCTTATACTGAGTTCAATATTGTATAACTGTATTAATTCAACAGCGAACCTAAAAATTTTATAGCCACTTTTGAAAGAGATGTATCTTTGCTTTGGAAACTGTTATTGAGTATGTTAAAACTGTACTGAAATGCTTCTTCTAAAAAAAATTAAAAGAAAAGAATCTGTGGTTTCGCTGGGCATGGTGGCACACGCCTTTAATCCCAGCACTCAGGAGGCAGAGGCAGGTGGATCTCTGTGAGTTCAAGGCCAGCCTGGTCTACATAGCGAGTTCCCAGTCAGCTGGGGATACAGGGAGACCCTGTCTCAAAAAGACCAGAAAAAAAAAGAAGTCAGCTTTAATTAACAAGAAACCATCACCACTGAAGTGAAACCTGTGCTTTACTGAGACAAGAGATGCTGGTTAGCTGGAGCTCATATTTTAGGGGTGACTAATAAGGGACCAGCATCACTGAGGATACATCTTCTGGGAAATATTTCCTTTGAGGTTAGTACATAGAAGCTGTAGTTCAGAGGGGACCATAGAAAGGCTTCTTTTCAAAATGGAAGCCCAACTTGGTAATGTGTAAGAGTCTCCCACATGATTGGTGGCATGAAAGCTGCATAATTGGTCAC